CTATCTATCTATCTATCTATCTATCTATCTATCTATCTATCTATCTATCTATCTATCTATCTATCTATCTATCTATCTATCTATCTATCTATCTATCTATCTATCTATCTATCTATCTATCCATCCATCCATCCATCCATCCATCCATCCATCCATCCATCCATCCATCCATCCATCCATCCATCCATCCATCCATCCATCCATCCATCTATCTATCTATCTATCTATCTATCTATCTATCTATCTATATATTTATAGTCAGTAAATATTTTTTTTATATTTACCAAAAATACATTAAAATGACAGTTCTTTCAAACTTTGAATTCATCAAGAAAAATAAATGCATCACAGTTTCCAAAATATTAAGAAGAACATTTTTGTCAATATTGAGAAGAATTAGAAATATTTCAAGCATATGAACATTTTTAAAATAGATGATTTAAAGGGTCATTTTACACTGAACATACGCTTTTTTTACTCGGCCGCCATTTAAAAAAAACGAAAGCGAGGCTGCCCACTGAAACCCGAAAATCGAGGATCAGCACTGTAACATTGCAATTGCTGTTGCCACGATTTTAAAGTGCAGATGTGTTTTAAACATCACTTTATTATCATTTAGTTAAATTTAAACAATTAAAGCATATTAGGCATAAAATAAAACCATAATCTTTTTAAGAGTAATACGCTTAAGTGTCCTCTTAGGCTTCAGTTCAAAGTAAACACCGTGGGGACACATCCCTGTTTCAGCCTATGTAACCCCTTGAGTGATAAAACAGTCCACTGTAGCACATCCTCATGTTGTCTGTAATAGTGTTGTCCCTGTACTGAAATTTAAAAAACGTCCATTTTCATCAGTTCATCAGGTCATCAGTTCACTGTAGTAGTGAAGATCAGTCAATTCATCAGCGGATAGCTCGTCTGTGTTTGCACTCGGTAAACATCAGTGAAGTGCAGTGACCCTATAACCATCACAGCCAATCACAGTCATTTCTGTTGAGCACTGGTAAATACTATGGCAAAACAGCGGTGTTTAAGAACACGCTCAAAAGCGCTTAAAAGTAAGCAGGAATTTGACGTTTTTTTAATTTTATTTCAGTACCAAAATTTAGTATTGTGACAAGTCTAATATCGTGAAAGAATCAGTTTATCAAATTGAGTTTGGTGAATGGCATCTAAAATGTGTGTTTAACGTTAGCTATCTAGAGCCATTTCAGAGTGTGATATCCCTATTTATTTTTACTCTCTATTCAGAACGGACCTTCAGGTCACTCGCAAAGTAGTGGAATTATAAATAGGTGTCACTTTCTTAGATAAAATATACAGCCAGGTACATAACAATTCCTGTGTGACTCCAGGCGTTACTTTCGGGTTTCTTCCCACCGCAGCCTCCCTTTCATTTTTAAAATGGAAATCAGTCTATTGAAGTAATGACTGCTGAAAATTGACAATACAACATTACTGCTTTAACTGTATTTAGATTATGATTAAGCAAAATCTTGGTGAACAAAAGTGATTTCCAGAAACAAATCTAACTGGCCATAAACTTGTCAACAGTATGATAAACGTTTACAAATACAAAATGACTTTGTTTATTTACTCATACTGATTCACATCTGATTTAGTTTTAGCATACAGATGAAACATTCAAATATGGCATGCATCTAAATGTAAAAATATTGCATAATGCAGAATAATTGTTATTATGTTTTACAAAAAATACTGAGGACACTGCCCCCGACAAAGTAGACACTGGAGTTGCATCATACTAATTACATAATGTTGTCTTTCAGTTTAGATCAATATGTTTTATAAACCTAATAAGGTCGATTTGAGGTCAGTCACTGACAGCAATGATTGGAAAGACATTAATAAGCAAACAATCACATAAAGAGAAGACAGAGAAACAATTTGTGCCGGTGGTGAGACAAGCATTATGTTAGAAAAGGACTCTCTCTTATGACGTGTGTGTGTGTGTGTGTGTGTGTGTGTGTGTGTGTTTCAGGCAGAGAGAAGGATATTCGACCTCTAGCAATTACAGTAGCACAAAGTAGCTGATGTGGGGCTGGGCCTGGTAAGAGGGAGGGAATGAAGTAGTGAGGGAGGGATGAAATGAGGCTGTGGGAGGAGAAGGCTTGGAGGAAAAGAGGAAAGAGCAAAACAGATGCAACTAACTCAGGGTGGCAAACTAGATGCACACAGGACGCTGGAGAAGATACTGACTCTTTCTGTATATATGACTGCAAAATTCAGAGGGTGGTGAGCTCAAAACCAGAGGAAAGGTAAGATTTGGCATAAATAATTTAAACATTGGGGAGAAAACAACAATAAATAGGATGTATATTCATTTTGGAATAAGAAAACATGTTTTGAGGGATTTGTGTATGGAAATGTTTTCTGCTTGGCAATTAGTAATTGAGCGAGTGTGTGTGTACGTGATGTCATTTAATGAATGAATGCCCTTGTATGCAAATCTCAAAGGCACAGCTCTGTACAGCCCAAGGCCTCTGTATGTCGGTTATGATTGAACAGGCCAGACAACATGCACACAAACCGCTGAATGCTTTAGGACAGCTGTAAACATTCACACAGTGGGAGAGCAGAGGAAGAAAATATGATATGATGAAAAGGTCTCAGATAGATGCAATTCTAATGCCTCAATGCTAACTGGAAACAAATGGCCCAATATGTAATATGTAGACATGCTAACTTGTTCCTGATTAGGCAACAAATATATGAATGACCCTGGACCTCAAAACCAGTCTTAAGTTGTACAAGATAGATTATTTGCTGGAATAGACAAAAATGACTTGAACTTACTGATTTATCTTTTAATCAAAATCATTAGAATAATAAACAAAGATCCTCTTCCATGAAGACATTTTGTATTTTTTTCTCACTGTAATTACAGTAAAACTAAAAAAATAGAAATAAGCTAAGGACTCAATTTGGACAACTTTAAATGCAATTTTCTCAATATTTAAATTTTTTGAAAGCTCGGTTTTTCAGATCTTTAAATCTCTGCCAAAAATTGCCCTATCCTAACAAACCACACATTATTGAGAAGCTTATGTAAGCAGCTTTCAGGTGATGTATAACTGTTAATTCAGAAATGTACCCTTATAAATAGTTTTGCGGTCCACATATTACAATTAAACTAAGCACAAAGCATGCTATGTTCTAACACAAAAGCAGAAATAATCTCAATACACTCTTTTAGTCATGAGTGATGTCAATCTCGGATATAGATTCAGATCTGACACTGATGATTTAACACTTCCTCTCCTCCTTCTGGTCATCATCTCTTCGAATCACAGCTCATTTTAGTTTCACTGGCACATTGTCACATGTCTCATTCATTAGAGCCTAAATTGTTGCTTACACATATTCCTCTAGGCTAAACTACAAACAGAAATTTACAAGCATCCAGCAACCGCTTCCTGTTTGAGTGGCTTGAGTGGCTTTTTCATTCTGGAAAATGGAGCCAAATCAGCACTGGAGGGTCTAATATCTGTATTATGCTCATTTGCATTTTGCCTTTTATATCCTTGTGTTGTTGCAGGGTTTCTGACGGTTCTTTGAAAATAGATTAAAATCCTTTTTAAAGGCCAAATAAAGAGAACATTATTAATCCCTTCCCTTCAAATTGATCAATTAAAGGGAACACAATAGGTCCCTGATAGAGAATTTGATAATATCATATATTCTTTAAGTGTCTTTTTATATGAAGCAACCAATGAGTTGTGACTGCAATATATGATTCACTGTATCAATTGACTTATAGTAGATATTTATAAAGGAAAAGGAAAATGCAAAGGGAGACAATAAATTTTGCAGTGCATGCAACATTGAATGCCATAACCATTGCTATTTGAACAAATTACTGTCTGGACTGATTTAACACCTTAAAAAGGTGATTTAGATATTTTAAGACTATTTTTAGAAAAATGCTTTCAATAGCATCTGTATTGATATGTATTTATTGCCATAATATGTGTTTCTGTTCAGTCCCAAGACTCCAAGTGATGTTGGGCAGGATAATAGCTAGTTGGGTTTTGGGTGTTGGTTTCTATTCAGTTTGTCAGCCTTGCTGGTCCATTGCAAAAACACAAATAAAGGTTTCCCACAAGAATCACACTAAAACATACTTTTCATTTGAAGGGTTGACTGTTTTAAATAATATTGGTTAAGAAAGAAAGATTGTGTTTACAAACAACATTTTAATTATGCTTCTGCACTATGTTTGTGGTCTTACACATTTACATTATTTATTTATTTATTTAAATTCATGCCAATTTGTTCATATAATAATCCTCACGTAGGCTATAAAAGGGACATTCTACCAGAAACGCACATTATCTGTCCCTAAAATAAAAACATAAATACAGTGAATAGAAATATTTCAGACCACAATGTCTAAAATAGACTGATGGTTAAATTCTGTGAGTTGTTCTGTAAAAGAATTTGTCATTCATTTGATTCTCAGATTGTTTTCTTTATTAAAAACACTTTACAAATGCACAGTCCCCGTCATTGTCCTTTTCCTCAGCTCAACTCAACCTACAGCTTTAATAGTTTTATGCTAAAAACTGTTATTAAGAAAAAATACTTCAGAAATAGCAATTTTAAGTTGTTTTCATTCACATCAATTGATTTAAAACATCAAATTATAAATAAATTTAACAAATAAATACAACAAATATATAATACAAATAAACTTACAATTGTCCACATTTTCGGTCAGTCCTGTCACATTGTGTGTGTGATTTTATGTTTGTTTTTCTATAATTTTTTGAGGATGACAAGCTTAAGTCAGGCCCTGTCACGTTTTTTGTTAGTAAAAATGTAACATTTCTGGTAGAATGTCCCAAAAACAGATCTGAGAGACTAAAGCTAATTATCAACTCTTTATGCTTATTAAAGAAAATATTCCATTTGTAATAAAATAAATTTAAAAAAGGATATAATACACCTTATCTAGTTTGCTGTCATGTGTTTTGCAGATGTCATGGCGGCCGACCTACCGGAGCTCCAAGTTTCGAAACGTCTATGGCAAAGTGGCCAACCGAGAGCACTGCTTCGAGGGCATCCCGATCACAAAGAACGTCCATGACAACCACTTCTGTGCGGTCAACGCCAAGTTCCTCGCCATAGTGACGGAAAGCGCGGGAGGAGGATCTTTCGTTGTAATCCCGGTCACTCAGGTAACCGCTGTCACGCAGCACGCGCGCGCATTACTGTTTTTCCCTGAACCGTTTGTCTTCTGGCTTTACACTAAATTAATGGCAAAATATAGGCCGTCAGACGAGCACTAACAGCAACATAAACGCAGCCAGCCTTTCAAGAGTCTTATTGTGGCGGCAGAAGTGCAGTCTGAATGCAGCCTGTTTAGCATAGGCTAGAGCTCGTGTTGGTGCGTTTGTGGAGACTGGTGAGTTTTGACAAATGGATGTAATTGGACATGTAAACATTGCAAAAACATTATTAGCTTCACTATGGGTTGTGTTTAAATATATGTCCAAATGAGGCATTGTTCAGGCTAATTAAATACATGTCCATTTGCATGAATATCCTGCAAAAATACAATAACATTGGGTGAAATCAGGTTCAAATTTTTATTTATTTGTTTATTATATATAGAGTTCAAGTTCTTTTCAAAATAATTTTGTGAATCTCAATTTATCATTTCATAAACTAATTTAGAAAGAAATCCTTGAATAAATCGTTTTATAGGCTATATAAAATTATACATTCTACACATTCAAACTACAGAAATGAATAAAATTGTAATGTTGAACAATCATTCATTAAGTAATAGATTGTCACTATGGAATTATAAGATCCTATCTGCATTGTAAATGATTTTGAGCTTTAAAGTTTTTGCATTCAATATAGCAAACAATAGCAGTTCTCTTTCATACATTAACATGACAGAGACCCTGAATGAACCCTAAATAAATTATCAACACTTTCTTAAATTCGCAAATTGGGGTAAAAAATAAAGAAACAGGGCAAATGCAGATAGAACCTTCTAATTCTAAAAAAGTCATTTTCCACCTGGAATTATAAAGTTCTATCTGGCAGATCATTAATTGTGTGTCATTAATTGTAAGTTCGACTTTGTAATTAAAACCTTTTTTTGTTTTTTAAATAAAAAGTCTGAAAATGTAAGCAGCTTATACAAAACCATCAAAATGTAAATAACTTGCCATTTAATAAGAATATGTGAATAACTCAATGTTGACAAAAATGTCAGATAAAACCTTATAATTATAAGGTGACGATTTGTTAATTATGGTGATTGTTTACATTTTTCTTAAAGCAAGCACTCAATATAACGAGGTGCAAAATCTAACCCAACTTACAAAATGTGTTCATAAAGCATAATATTATCATTAAGTTATAAAACTATTTTTTAAAAGCTCTATGAACAGTCACATTATTTATTTAAAAATACTGATCCAGCTAAAATATTATCAATGCATTTTGGCATGTTGCTGGACACACTCCTAAACTTTAATGTTAAACCTTGAGTAAATGAAACTGCTGCAAAATCTTCTTTTTTTTTTCTCGCCTTAAAGCAACCGTCACAGCGAAGTGCTAATGGATGCTTTGCACCAATTCACATTTACATTAATTTTAGCAAAGAACATGCAGTTGTTTCTGTACAGTGGAAAAACGTAGATGAGTCACCATGTACTCTTTTCTTATAAATGCACATGTGCTGCCAGCTGGAAAAAAAACCCCACAGGCCTGCTACTCTCTTTCTGTCAAACACGTTAGTTAACACTGTTGTAGTCTAGTATGCATTTTCTCAGCACTGTTTCCTTTTTACAAATACGTGCATGGAGATTTCATGTGATCATCTACATGCTGTTTGTTTTTGAATCGTCAAGAAATTTTGTTTGCATCTCCATCTTTAGTCTAAACCATGACTCAATAGAATCATACAAGTCAGTCTCTCACTCAGTGGCTTGACATGCTCTAAATTAAATCTTTCTGTTACCTTGTTTACAGGCCAAGCAAAAGCCTGAGCTGAAAGCAGATGCGTTGTGTTTCCTTTGATCTATGGCTTTAATGTTGGAAAATTGTCAAGCACTAGATGCTGTAACCTCCTGGTCACTGACATTGACATAAGTCATCACTGTTGGCTGGAACAGAACAGTTTTGTGTGCTTGATTAAGAAAGGAATATGGAAGACGGGGATTTTGTTAGTTTTTCCAAAATTTGAATTCTGTCAACATTTACTCATTCTTTATAGATTTGGACCAGTGTTGCCAATCAAACAATTTTGGTCTGAATAAACTTCCACTTTATAACACACATTAAGACACTTCCTAAAAAAATAGTTTACCCAAAAATCTAAATTATGCCACGCATTTACTCACCCTTCACTTGTTCAAAACCTGTTGGAGTTTCTTTCTTTTGTTAAACAGTAAGTTAACTTCCAGCATTTTTCATATTTTTCATATCCACATGGGTTTCCTCCGGGTGCTCTGGTTTTCCCCACAAGTCCAAAGACATCATATAGTTGAATATGCCGAAAAGAAAATGAATGAATGAATGAATAAAACATAACGGGACCTTTGGCCAGAGTTCTGAGAATATTTTCTGTTAGCTTAGAAGTTTATGAATTTAAGTTTGTCTCAAAATTCTAACGCCAATGCACAACAGCAAGTGGCAAAACTGCACAAATATAGCCCAGACAGAAAAAAAGACAGATACGGCATTTATCATTGGCGTGACAATGAGATTTTGACTCTGATGTCCCATCTTTCCCTCTAGTCATCTCCTCTTTGCATTCTGTCTGTTCTTCTGTCCCTCCTCTTGAGCTCATCCGGTCATGCTACGCTGCCCAGTGGGCCAGCAGACCCTCAGTCACGGTCTCAGCCAACTTGGATAAACTATCAATAGCACTTTTGTATTGAACTTTGAGAGTCACCCAGTTAATGTGTGATGCAGAAGGCCAGCTTTGTACTCTTAATGTGCTCATTCCTCAGCGTTTGTGACTCCAACTGGGCTCCCAGGCCATGAAAAAGACTTCAGCCTTTTTTACTTCCGCGTATCTTTTTATCTAGACACCACGTGGAGTTCTGTTTTTCCCCCTACTTTTTCATCCTTCATCTCCCTTGAGTCTCTGGCATTCTGGCATTGACAGCTCCCTGCAAAGTTTCCATGCTTACTGTAATAATGGGAAGTTCTCTCTCACCATCACTGAAAACTGTCTTAGAAATGACCGTGAAGCTATTTGATAAAAGTTCCTTCATTCATTCATTTTCTTTTTGGGTTAGTCCCTTTGTTAATCTGGGGTTGCCACCGCGGAATCAACCGCCAACTTATCCAGCATATGTTTTACGGAGAGAATGGCCTTCCAGCTGCAACCCATTCCTGGGAAATGTATATGGAAGTTCAAAACAATAATTTTAAGTCTTTATTTGGGAATTGTTCTTGCACAATGTAGTTTTTTTTAAATTTTGCTGTAATACATAGCTCCTTTAATTTTTGTAATGCTTTAAACAAGGCATTAATACAAAATTAATTGTATTTTACATGGACCGTTGCACGATAAATAATCAGAGATTCTCATAGTACATTTGAAATTCAGACACATGGCAGTGATACAATGGCGGCAGAGTTTTGGCTTTTCAAAAAGAATTCCTCATATGACAAAGAAGCTTCAGTTGTAGGATGGAAACTGCATTCAGAAACCACGATGAGATGGCCCAAGGAAAGAGAGAGAGAAAAAAAAGAGTATGAATAGAAGACTGTGGTATTCGCGATGATGTCATCATTAACTGTTTAACCGTTTAAAAATGAAACCGATCCTTTCCTTGACCTGCTAAGCTGCTATTGACTGAAGCGTCTGTGAATAATAATGGGTTAGCTGGTGCTGTATTGCTTTGGGATGATTTCACGATTCTTAAAATAATGTAGAGCTCCCCTCGGAAAGACTCGAGCAGATACAAGTACGCACGCACATACGCACACATATAAAAGGGAGTTGGGCTGTCTGGCAACACTGATAGGAAACTGCCAACCAGTTTAAACTACTTTAGCATAGCCAAAAGTGCTTTTTACTAGACCCACACCCTTTTTTATAATGCCTCGCTTAGCATACAGTAAGCTCGAAGAATTGAAATGCCCTTTTTTTGAGAATTTTGTTCCTCAACCATGGAAAATGTTACGCTTGGTATTAGATAATTTTGAACAGACTTTAGAAAATAGGCCAGTCATGTCAGTTTTGTATAAGTGTAAATCTAATGTAAATCTGTGGTGTCACTTGAAATCTACTACAAAATATTATTGAATGGCTTCTACCAATCTTCATTCATTATTAATAATTGCATTTGACTGTTTTTGATTACTTTTCAAAATCCCAAACAGGTTTTCACCACCTAATTATATTCAAACATTTTAACTATAGAAATCAACACTGATTACAGTTCATTGTTTGGAAAATTTTTATTTTATTTTATTTAGTTTAATTTCTTTCTAAGGCTAAAAAAAAAAAAAAAAAAAAATATATATATATATATATATATATATATATATATATATATATATATATATATATATATATATATATATATATATATATATATATATATATTTTTTTTTTTTTTTTAATATTTTTTTTTATATACCAAACCCACTAAAATGTAATTCATTGTGATAGCAATTTAGCAAAAAATCTTGTCAGACATACAGTATAAGGATCAGAGGGTCTTTAAATAACAAATTTGTGGTTTAGTAAATTGCCGCATAATAAAAAGATGAAATGATCAAATATTTAAGAGCAATAAACTGCAGCACCTGAGTCTTTAGGGTATAATTTAAAGATATTACAGGCTGTTGAATGACAGGGATGTTTTTATTTTAAAAGGGTGACTTCTTGATCAGAAAAGGGTTACTTCTTGATCATGTTATTCTAAATGAATTTTAGCAAACTAGAAAAACTATATGGCAATTTAACAGAACACAGTAGACTCTTCTGTTCAAACCGTTCAAACTTTGTTTTGCAAACTGAAAGAAGGTTTAGGGCATTATTTCAACCATATTATTGGCATAGGTTATTTGAAACATTATATATTATATTTGTTGGTATGAATATATGAGTATTTTATCTGAATTTAATATGTATACAGTATTTCTGAAAGAAATTAAATGGAATTAGAACAAAACTCTGCAAGACATTTCAGTTAGGGGGATATGATGTGTTAATAATTAGGCATTTATTAAATCATAAAAAATTAAAGCCTGTGGCCTCAAAGTGTACATTTCAAATGATGTAACTGTGTGAGCTAGGATTTTTACAATAAAAATGATCATAATAGCATCTTATTGTATCTGAACCTCAATATAGCTAGGAATTGATTTAACTGAAATTATTTCACAGACTACTCTTTGCATTGTCAATACTAATAATATGTTGACTTATTTTGTCATTTAATTAAAAAGTGGCTTAGAAATGCCTTATAGTCTCTCTGTTTAGGATGTCAGATGTGTTTAATAAAAAAAAACATTTTTTTTTCTAGTGTGCTCTATGAGAGCTATATGCCAGTCTAGACTGTAGGCACATCCTCTGACATCATAATTAGTGTAATCACATGGCTGTACTCGAGCATCATTGTGCTGCTCACAATAGGAGGAGTGGCTAAATGTATGATCTCCTTTTGTCTCAGACTAAAAACTCAGACAGCGACTACTCTGCCTGATCTGCAGCCAACACATCTGTGTCAACAACCGCCCGCCGCCAACACACTCCTACACATGAATCTGTAACGGTCTTACGTGCAAAATAACACCACACAGGAATCGAAATGAGAGATAATTAGAGAGAGGCAACTGGCAAACAGAGGGAAAATTAGGCACAAAAGCTATATGTATTAGATGCTTTTGCTTTTTATGCCTAATTTTCCCTCTGTTTATAGCAATATTTTACATATTCATTACCACAATAGATTGTATATATAATAATGAGTAATGAATATAGATAATATTGTTATTGTGTACTCTTCTAAACATTGAATTATTTTGTCTTTGAAATTTTTATTATTTTTAGAGCACTCTTTATACAAGTTGTTCAAAGTATAACCAGTCTGAAAATATTTTTTGGTATTAAACTTGTCTTTGTTTTGAAATATTTCCTGATATTTAACAAAACAAGGACATTTTCACAGTATTTACTTTTTTTCTGTAGAAAGTATTATTCATTTTAGTTCGGTTGAAATAGTAGATTTCACTTTTTTATTTTAAGGTCATTATTATTAGCCGTTTCTAAATATATATATTTATATATATTTATATTATATATTTATATATTTATATATATATATATGTATTTGAAACATCCTTTAAAAATGACATTTTTATCAGGCTTCTGTGTGTGGGTTCAGTAATTTTAAGTTTATGGCAAAGAGTACACTCTTTTGGAGGTCTTTAAAATGAAATAACTCAACATAAACATAAGAGTCTCAGAAAATGCTACTTTTCAATGGAAATTTCAGATGGCACTTTTTTTGCATCTGTACTCTTCATATATAGTTTTGGATTTGTTTTGTTATTTGAAAACCATTAAACGGAAGTTTGCCTGTCTTTTCAGTCTCTTTTGTAATTTATTCAAATACCATGATAATGTTGTATACTGTGATAAAGAAAATCAGTAATTACAATGCCATGAAAATACAATGCCTAGTTTGAGCATTTGAGCATATAAAATCATCATCAAAAACAAATTTGCCTTATAATTTTTGCTAATTAGTTGTCATGATGGAAATTTGACGCATGTAAATACAATTAGATCATTAAATGTTTTACCTGTAGATACTGTAAAAATAAATAGTTCATATTACTTTATGCTAACTAACTATGCTTTATGCATTTACTAATGTCAATGAGATCTTATTTATACAACAGTTCTGTCTGGTTCTCGAATCTGATTGGCTGATAGCCGTGATATATTTAAGTAATATCAGCACCCGTACAGCCTCTTTACCCTTTGTGTATTACTCCGCCCACATACAGCCAGCAACAAGCAGACACTACAGATCTAAAGTTTAAAAAATGCTTGCTCAGCTTGCTCAACTGTCAGCTTATGGTTTGAATCTAATGTGGAAGAAAGTAGTTCCTCATACAAAAGGGTTTTTGAGACTCTCCATGTTTGATTTTGTTTTTATAAACACAATTATGCCGTCAAACTGTTGTATAAACGCAATATCACACTTGTAGCAGTGCGATATGGCTGTATATCGGCACTGGTGGGGGGACTAAGGCACTCGGCCGCAACACACGCCGCCCACCAGTGCCGATATACAGCCATATTGCACTGCTACTCGTGTGATATTGGTCATATATATATTCGAGTCCTGATCAGGAGGTAATTTCTAATTCTGATCAGATCTGGACATCCCTAATAATAATAATAATAATAATAATAATAATAATAATAATAATAATAATAATAATATATCATTATATTTTATACTTCATGTAGTATTTTTAGTTCTAATATATTTTATTTTTAATGGTGGTGAGATACTTAATACCCAAAGTTACAGTTTGATTTTATAGTACACATTTTACTACAAAAAGCAAAGACAAGCAACATGTGAATCAAGTTTTAACTGTTTGCATAATAAGCGCACATTCAAAGCTGCACATCCTAACCAAATCAGAAATCCTCACATGTAAGAAAACATTTGAACAACAAAAAGTAGCTACCAGTAGTAGTAGCAAAGGCTTTTACATTTTCTAATCGTTCATGTTGTTTTAGTAAGTTTTGATATCCTGTGGGAAATCAAGAGACTTTCATACCCATGAAAACTCTATTAAATGAACGCCCCTTAAGCGGTTGCTGTGCTAATTGAATTCAATAATCCAACACAGAACAAATCACAGCCATAATTTTCATCATGCTAATCTAGGAGAAAAAGCACAGAAGGGCAGAGATAATGTGCATCATTGTTGTAATAAATGCAACCAATAAGCCAGATACAGGACAATATCCGAGGTGCTTTTAGATTTTCTGGATCATCTTCAACTGATGTCTTCATTCTTACATTACAGAGTGTTATCTCTATGCATTGAGCTATAGATGAAGAGCCTTTCTTAAGCAGCCCACTCATGCATGACCTGAACTACAAATCCCAAAGGACCTTAGAAAGAGGTCAATGGACTAAAGTGACATCAAACATTCATAGCATCATGTCTAATGTTCTGTCTACTACTGAATGGATGACTGTGGTTATGTAGCGCCATACTGTGGACAATTGGGTGTATTACAGTAGTATTTGTGGAATTTGTGGTATTTGTACTGTATTTGTGGAAGTTACATTGTTTGTTCTTACTGTACATCCATACATAGTTCTGTTTGTATACTTAGTCACAGTAAAAATAAATAAGATAACTATCTTGTACTTGTTTCCTGCAGTTTGGCCGTATCGACCCTCACTATCCAAAGGTATGTGGTCACCAAGGAAATGTGCTGGACATCAAATGGAATCCTTTCCACGACAACATAATCGCATCTTGTTCAGAGGACTCATCTGTGAGTATTTGCAAAGAGCAAAATCAAGACAATGCTCAAATGATTAATTTATTCATTCATTCAATCACTTTCTTTTCGGCTTAGTCTCTTAATTATTTTGGGGTTTCCATAGTGGAATAAATTGCCAACTTATCTAGCATATGTTTTATGCAGCGGATACCCTTCCAGCTGCAACCTATCACCGGGAAATACCCATACACACTTACCCTACAGACAATTTAGCTTACCCAATTCACCTATATCGCATGTCTTTTGACTTGTGGTAGAAACTGAAACACCCGGAGGAAACCCACACGATCACAGGGAGAACATGCAAACTACACACAGAAATGCCAACTGACCCAGCCGGTGCTTAAACCAGTGACCGTCTTGCTGGGAGGTGACCATGCTACCCACTGAGCCACTATTATGCCCTTCAATGATTCAATCTAATCTAAAATAAATGAAACATGTCTGAAACATTAGTTTGTAAAACAGACTCTTTAAAAATATCTCTTAAATAGAAAGTTGATTTTTTTTAATGGAATTTGAATAGTTCCACTACATTTCCTGCTTCTGAAGCATTTTTAATCTCAATTCATGTTAATTTAACAAAATTTAAAAACATAAATTTAGTTTATAATCATGTTTTTTTATAATTAATTTTTCAGTTAATGTAAACTATCCTGATGCACATGCTGAACAGAGCATGATGCAAGGTTGTATTGTTATTTATTGACAGAAATTAATAGGATTAAATGGCTCTCTGGAGTACTTGTTTCTCAGTGGCCAGGACAGTCATGATGTCACTATAGAGTCAGTATATATGTTGCTTGATTGTATAACATTGTATTTGTCTTTTAAGAGTGCTAAAACTACTTGTGAAGTTTTACACCGTAAATAGAACAAACCTGATATCAGTGTTGTGGAGTAGTCAAATGTAATGGTTACGTAAGGTTGCATATAACAGTTTGTGCAAAATATTTTTGTGAACATTTAAAATGTTTAATAAATTGCACAAGAAAAACACACACATGTGTCTTTTTTGAATTGCATTTGACTGCTTTAAAATTTAATGCGGGTGATGCAGTGAATTGGGTTTAGGCTAAGTTGTCTTTAGTGTGTTTGTGTGTGAATGAGTGTGTATGGATGTTTCCCAGGTATGGGTTGTGGCTGGAAGGGCATCTGCTGTGTAAAAACATGCTGGATAAGTTGGCGGTTCATTCGTTAATAAAGGGACTAAGCCAACAAGAAAATGAGTGAAAATGAAATGCAAATGTTTTAGGACACAGAATAGGACAGATAAAAAATATATATATTTTCTATATGGCATTGTGTGTATGCTTTATTTTTTATATGAAATGTTTTTCCTCAATGCATTGTTAAAAATCTCTGTTTTCTTATATATTTGTGCAAAGACATGATTTTGAAAAGTCTTTGAAAAGGCTTTGTTGCTGCTGTAATATAAAATATAATTTAAGGAGTGAAGGATTTTAAAGGTCTAGTAATCAGTGTTGTTATCAGTGAATGAGTCCAGTAATCAGTGTTTTGTTCTACTGATTAAAATGTTTAAATATAATTAAGGGGTGAAAACCTGTTAGGAATTTAGAAAAGTTAGCAAATAAAGTATGGAAAATATAGTTACATTACTCAATACAATTTCAATGACATGTAGTCTGTAACCTGTTCAAACTATTCCCAACACTGCCCCACAATAGAGTCTGAAAGGATCTTCATGTTACATGGGGGGTGTATGACTAAAAAGTGTTTTGTTTGCGTCAGGTGCGAATATGGGAGATTCCTGACGGTGGACTGAGAAGGAGTTTGACAGAGTCTGTATTAGAACTCTATGGCCACAGCAGGCGTGTGGGCCTCATCGAGTGGCATCCAACAACTAGCGGGATTCTCTTTAGTGCTGGCTATGACTACAAGGTAAGGACAATTTGTGTGACACAATCTGATCAACTTAAACTCACTGATATGAGCTATAAAATTAAAACATCCTAGATATGTTAGATCATTAAAAAAGTGAGTAAACCCACTGCGTTAAAATTATTATGTAATTAAAGAATCTGTATAATTTTAAACCTCAATTTAACAGATTCTCAATTTAATTATTGTTTTTTTTTAAGTGTACTTGACAAAGAAATCTGTCATTATTTACTCACCCTACACTTGTTTTAAGGCCATTTAAGTTTCTTTGCTCTGTTGAACAAAAAATAAGTTATTTTAAAACATGTAGGTTAATGCCACTCATTGTCTTCCTAGTATTTTTTTCTACTAAAAAAGTCGATGGGTGCCAGTATTATAACAGAAAAAAAGAAACTCATTAAGGTTTAAAACCTCATCAAGAGGAATAAATGATGAGGTATATTTCTATTAATCTATTTAAGTAAAGAAATGGATCACTTTTTAATGTGTTTGTGAAAGCTGATTCTGATTGTCCACAATGTGAACACGACATTGCAGCGTTCAGAAATAAAACTGTCTAAGAATGTATCAGAGGTTGTGCTTTTTCTCACCCTGTAGATCCTGATTTGGAATCTTGAGATCGGAGAGCCAGTGAAAATGATCGACTGCCACTCAGATGTGATTCTGTGTATGTCATTTAACACAGAGGGCAGCTTGCTGGCCACCAGCTGCAAAGACAAGAAACTTCGTGTCATTGAGCCACGCTCAGGCAGAGTTCTGCAGGTGCGTTCAGCCTTACAATACACACATTTAAACACTCATTTACACAGACACGCTTATGCCCTCTTTCTTAGGGGTTTTCAATTAGAAACATTTGACATATTTTAATGTCATGCCTGAAAATGCAAACTTTTAAAAATGGGTTTCAAAGTGTAGTTTTTATTTAAAGCAAAACTTTAAATTTTCTGTGTGTAAACTACAAAATATGGATATTATGTGCTCAGTATATATGCTTCAGACCACAGTTTATGCTTCTTGAAACATTGCCTGAAATTGCCAGTTGTTGGCTTAGCATATGTGATGCTGTGTCTTATCCATTTTTCACAGATCTGTGTCAGGTCCTGACGTTATTGTCTGTGTGCAAAGCTTTTAAAAGATGCAATAGCTTTTAGTACACAGTTGTTAAATAAACAAAGCCTTAGCTTTATAATTGATGCTACACTCTATTTCATCATATAAATCAAGGATTTAATGGATTAAAATAGATAAATGGGTTAAAAGGAACAGTAAAAGTGAAAGTAACTGTAAAGATACTGATCATGTTACAAAAGACTTTATTTTCAGATAAATCCTTTTCAGCTGAACTGTCTGTTTATCAGTGAAACCTGTTGGAACATTTAAGCAGCACAATTAGCATATTTCATTGATTTAATAATGTTCAGAATAGTTTTTGTGTGGCACTGAAGATTAGTTTAATGATTCATGAAAATTCAGCTTTGCCATCACATTAAATAAATACCATATATTAAAATAAATAAATTAAACCCAGCAACAATAAACACAGAGAGAAATTTGAAAAAGTTCCCATTAGAAATGAAGCAAGCATATATTATCGGATCATTATTTCAATAATTATTGTAACCAATATAATGCTTTTTATTTCTTAAAAACAACCAATATGGAAGGTGTATCCTATAGCCGTAGTACTGGGTGACAATGAAAGGAGAAATAATGACCACCAGCTGACCTAAAGTTAAACCCCACTGGGTTAGCCAGTAAACGTTGAAGGTCAGACAGTAGACAGAGCTCCCATTATCTACAAAAGAAGATCGCAACCACAAATTATGGTAACACTTAAAAAAACACTCATTAATGTCAAAATGAGTGAAACGATGGTTAGTGCTGTTGCCTCACTGCAAGAAGTGAGGTCGCTGGTTCGAGTTTCGGCTGGGTCAGTTGGCATTACTGAGTAGAGTTTGCATGTTCTTCTCGTGTTTGCTTGGGTTTTCTCCGGGTGCTCCGGTTTCCCTCATAGTCCAAAGGCATGCACTATAGGTGAGTTAAATAAACTAAATTGGCCAACGTGTATGTGTGTGGATGAGTGTGGATGGGTGTTTCCCATTTCTGGGTTTCAGCTTGAAAGACATCCGCTGTATAAAACATGTGCTGGATTAGTTGGCGGTTCATTCCACTGTGGTAAACCCTGATGAATGAAATGACTAAGCCGAAGGAAAATGAATGAATATCAAAATAATACTGTGACAAATACACAACATAATCAAGTCAGAATTACAATGAAAATTTTTGAATCTGAAACTTATATTAGTGTATTCCCAACATTAATACTTAATTTACGTTATTTTCTATCAAATAAATCTAACTTTAGTGAGCATGAGAGACTATTATTATAGACTATGCTTAAAATTTATAATGTCTACAAAAATTAAGTGTATAATAGTGTATAGTCTAGAAATCCATACACAGAAGATGAAATACTGTACTTTTACAGGGAGCCTGGTTTAATCATTTATTATTTAGAGACATTCAGATGAAAGATATCAAACATCATGTAGATATTTTAAAGAATAACCTTCCTTTTTATGCACCTTTGTAAATGGACTATTGAGAAAACTGCTGGTAGAACTGATTGTTTTTCTTGGTTTTGTTTTATATTGTCAAGCAGGAGGCCAACTTTAAAAACCACAAAGTGAATCGTGTTGTGTTCCTAGGCAACATAAAACGACTCCTAACGACAGGTGTGTCTCGCTGGAACACACGCCAGATTGCTCTCTGGGACCAGGTGAGAACAACCTCGGTGTATGTGTGTGTGTGTGGTTGGAGCTGGAGGTGGTGGGGGGTTGTGAAGGGTGCCCAGCAAACAATTTGGTGTTTAATAGAGGTCTTATAGACATCTAAACACAGACAGCTTGGCTAAAACAAGGCTAAACTTGGGCTGTCAGTGAAAATCTAATAGACATCTAAGAATAGCCCAAAACTAGATTAGTCATCAAATAGACAGATTAGACAGACTTTATATGTGTTGTCATTCATTTCTCATTATTTGATGACTAGTCTAGTTTTGGCCTATTCTTGGACAGCTATTAGATTTTAACTGACAGCTCAAATTTAGCATTGTTTTTGCTAAGACGACTATGTTTAGACATCTATTAGACATCTTTTAAAAGCAAAACATGCTTGCTGGGTGGTCCTTGGGTCAGGCTTTGACCTGATCAAATGTCCTCACAAGGGCAATGCAACCTAAAATCACTGATGATGTAGGACCAGCCAATGGTCACTGGGAGCAAATTAATAAACACAAGCAATATGTTAATGCTGCAATGTTTTGGTCAGGGTCAAGAATGAGAGAATATAAAGTTTAAAAAATTATTATTTTTTAACATAATGACAGATGAAGCCAACAGATGACAGAAAAACAAATGTGTGGATGCTTCTGTCTGATTAATTCCCAAAACTCATCCAGAAATACACAGTCCCTGATGTCTGCATGCATTGCCCTAAAGATTACCCACTGAAAGTCATTATGTTTTCTTCTCAGCATGCTCCCTGTAATTATTGTGTGATAATCACATTCATTGTTGTTTGAAATTGTAGCTAAACACTTACTCTTAACTGCAGTGGAAAGAGAATGCGGGTTAAGACGCTGGTTGCTTTGCTCTTAACGCATTGTTCATTTTTTTTTCTTATATCGTCAATTTGTTAATTGGTTATTTTTTATTTTAAAAAGATTTTTAAAAATCTGCAAATATTGGTACAATGTTATCTGATGTTATCTTTGACTTCAGGAGGATCTGTCCATGCCGATCATTGAAGAGGAGATTGATGGTCTTTCTGGACTACTTTTCCCTTTCTATGATGCAGACACACACATGTTGTACTTAGCAGGCAAGGTACACATTACTTCTAACTCATAAGGATTCTTATATGCTTTTAATGTTTGTTAATTGTTAAAAATATAATTAATGGAAAAAATTTAATTATGTATTAGACTAATCATGTATCATATATTATCATTTTTTTGTTTTTTTGTTGTTTTTATTACTTGTATTCTTTTAATTTGTAAATCACTTTGGATAAAAGCATCTGCTAAATCAGTGGTTCCCAAAGTGGGGGTCGTGGGACAATGACGGGGTCTCTTGGTGCATTCCAAAAGTCAAATAAATTTGATTAAACTATTAGAATTACCACATTCTATTCATAAAACTAATAGTTAATTAAACTAGTAGTTAATAGTTACATAAAGATCAGCATCATGCAAATGAAAAGCCATCACCCTTTCAATTATTATTTAAAAGATTGGTGTGTTTACGTTCTATTAACAACACAGCGATAGCGTCGGCTGCAGCAGTTTGATTTTATAACACCAGGTTAACTTTTCTGACACTTTTCTGGCAATTAAATACATTAAAAACAAATATACAGGCCACAACTGATCATTGAGAATGATCTCTAAGTGGCGGTCTCTAAAATTAAACCAAGAATAGACTTGCACTGAAAACATTGTGTCCACCAGTCTTTTTAGGTAAGGTTAATATTCCTTTAAACTGAATAATACATTTCTAAAAAATATATATATGATTGTTAAAACCCCTAACTGTGGAAGAATATTGTATATCAGAAAATATATGCCGCATTCATTGTATCACAGGTAAACATTAAAATCCACATTGGTGCCTATGCTTAATATTGTTGAGTTCCTTAAACAGACTGAATCTCACCGTCATTGTCTGTAACTGACTGAAACAGTGTAATTGTAGGGTGATGGGAACATCCGGTACTATGAGGTCACACTGGACAAACCCTACCTGCAGTACCTCATGGAGTTCAGGTCCCCTGCACCACAAAAAGGCCTTGGTAAAACTACATCCTTTAATAATCACACAACACTGGCTGTCTTTTCAAAATTAAGTTGATCACAATGACCCGCATTGGATTTAGTGGCCTTAAGGTTTATTTTAATTTCTCAAAAATGTATAATCTTCTGTCATCATTTACTCACCCTCCAAACCAATTTGAGATTCTTTCTTGTGTTGAGCAGAAATTTTGAGGAATGTTGGTAACAGGTTGATGGACCCCACTGATTTTCAGTATTTGTTTTGCTATGAAGGTCAGTATTTTTAGTTACCAACTTTCTTCAAAATAACTTGTTTTGTGTTCAGCAGAAGAAAGGTTAGGAACAAATGAGTAAATGGTGAGTTTTGTTTTGCATGAACCATCCCTTTAAATATGTTTTTGCTAGTTATCCCCTTGGTAATGCTTAATTGTTTACCTCAAAAACATGTTTAGAATGTTTTTATGAGCCGTGTATCACCAAAATTTTGTACTATATACCATATTTGTTACCCTTATAAGTTGCACACGCATATTTGTGGTAATAGTCAAAATACAGTGCATGAGTCAGTTATACAATTTTCTTTTATGCCAAAAATATAGATAATTTAATATTTTAATTTTCCACATTCCCAACAGTCTATATGTGTGTGTGTGTGTGTGTGTGTGTGTGTGTGTGTGTGTGTGTGTGTGTGTGTGTGTGTGTGTGTGTGTGTGTGTGTGTGTGTGTGTGTGTGTGTGTGTGTGTGTGTGTTTCTCTATACTGGGTTGCAGCTGGAGGGGTATCCGCTGCTTAAAACCTATGCTGGAATAGTTGGCGGTTCATTCCACTGTGGCAATCCCTGATAAATAGGGACTAAACCTAAAGAAAATTTATGTTTATACTTTTTCATCATAAGATTTCTAGCACTTGCTCTGGGATCCAAGCTTTTGTGGATAAAAAGTATACAATTTATTTATTTATTTATTTATTTATTTATTTATTTGTTTGTTTGTTTTAAGAAAAAGACAGATAGTTTCACTATGTAAGACCTGTTTTTGTTTAAAAGATAATTTCCATAAATACATTTGGTAAATTTCCTATTGTAAATATAGAGAAACTGAATTTTTGATCAGTAACGTGCTTTGCTAAGAACTTAATTTGTACAACTTTCAAGGTGATTTTCTTAAAATTTAGAGTTTATTTTAACCTTCATATATCATATTTTTTAATATTTGTATGATATTGTCCTATACCAAACATTGAAACATCAACAGATAGCTTATTTATTTATTAAATCTCAAATTAAATAATTATGATTTTTTTTTTGTGGTCCAAGGTCACATTTGGATATGCTATCTTTTGGATATGCTCTTAATAGAGTTTTGGGGAATGTCAATAAATAAAATTGTATACTGATAATTAGATAATTATACTTATAATTATTATAAATAATATATATTAAGTAATTATCATGTTCAGCTAATCACATGTTCTTCTGTCACATGTGTGTTTGGACAGGAGTGATGCCGAAGCATGGACTGGATGTAGGAGCATGTGAAGTCTTTAGGTTTTATAAGTTGGTGACTCTAAAGGGCCTGATTGAGCCCATCTCTATGATCGTGCCTAGAAGGGTAAGCATGAGGATATTTGCTCACCGTCACAGTTAAATGCATTATTGAGAGATTGAAGGATGAGAGAAATTTGTGCTAGAAGTTGTGGCAGGTTGGAGGAATTAAGGAATTTATAAGTTGTTCATTTAGAGGACAATATCATCTTTTTTTGCTGGTGTAACTGGTCCTTCAATGAAATGGGATGAGCCATGTAAATTAATAAATAATCTCCAAGTGTGTCACAGCATGTGTGTTTTGTTCTCTGTACAGAATGGGCATTGACAGTTTGGCCTATTATCAGAGGACTTTAAAACCCCTGTGAAAGAAACCAAATCCTCATGACACCACAAATTTAAAACACTACAAAATAAATTTAGTGCCAATTCAGTGCACACAGTTCTGATATTTTTGATATTTGAGAAACCTGATGTTGGAGAGCTAACCATTGAATTCAGCAGTGACAAGAAGTTGAGCTCTAAATATGGAAGCAGTTACATTCACATTCAATAGTATGCTTAACCATATTTTTGAAGCAAATGATTTACTAACTTATTGTTTCAGGTAGATTTTTTACCCCTTCAAAATATTATTTTTAATTCAAATTTATATGTACAATATAATTTCAAAGCAACTTTACAGCAAAGAGCTCCATCAAATAGCAAGTTAAAGGCAATTTACTAAAACGAATATAGTGTTTTTAAACAACCATGGAATAAAGATCTTACCTAACAAAACCTTTTTATTTTACTTTTTATACTTTTTAAGCATTAAAGCACATCTAGCACTTGCTAAAAAGTATAAATGCTTAGTAGCTAAAAAGTATACAATTGATTTATGATTTTATTGATTTATTTTAAGAAAAGACAGATAGTTAAGACCTTTATTTCTTGGCTCGTATGATTTTGAGCCCATAAAAGCTGCATTGAAACTACTGTATAATTTGGAAGTTCAAATTATTGAGCCGTACAAAGGTGCTCCCTTATGGAGACAAATCCTAGAAAAATCCTAGAAAATTCTCTTTAGAACGTTAATTTCTTCTTGACTAAACAAAAGAAATAAACTGATTTCTTGGATGACAAGCAAGTGAGTAAATTGTCAAGAAATGTTCATTCTGGAAGTGAACTAATCTGTTAATTTGCTTGCTTTATATAATAATTTATTGTTAAGCTATGTTGAATATATTGCATAAACTACAATACAAATAGACTTGTGTTTTTCTGTAATATTGGGAAGAAAAAAAAAAATAATGCATTCAAAGTCTTGGTGCAAAAAAAAAAAAAATTAAAAGATTTCCTCATATGCAGCCTCAAAATGCGTCCTTCGTTTCGCCAAGAATAAAGGGCACAACCGGTGGATCCTTCGCGAACTCAAACATCTCAAAATTCATTGCACCCTGATAACAGCAGGACGTTTTTAAAAGAAAACTCTGGATTAAATTTTATTACTGCTTATTAACAGCAGCTGCTACTTTTGCCTGGTGATGAGATCTGTCCTCTAGGCCAGTGGTTCTCAAAGTGGGGGTCGGGACGCCCTGGGGAGTCGCGGGACAATGACAAGGGGTCGCTTGGTGATATCCAAAACTCAAATAAATTTTATTAAACTATTAGAATTACCATATTTTATTCATTACCGACAGAATATAGTTAATAGTTGCATTAAAGAAACAACAACATAAAAATAACAATCAGCCATCAGCCTTTAATTTTAAAAGCAAATGTAATTAAATCCATAAATGACTTTAAAAAAACATTATATGGCTAATAGACTGTTGCATTTTTGTGTTGTCAATAAGCTCATGTTTATATTTGCCTATAGTTGTGTATGCAATATTTACAGTACAACCACCTTGAAAAATGGGGGTCGCGAGCCACTGATATGATTATTTTTGGGGTCGCGGGGTGAAAAGTTTGGGAACCCCTGCTCTAGGCTAGTTTGTCTCATTTCAAAATGCTCTGTTCGGTCTGTGTGGACTTCGCAGTACTCACTTTTAAAGTCTGCATCCTTCGGAGGATGCAGCCTCTGAAATGAGACAGCTTATTTCACCACACAATATATATTCTTTTTATATATTTAACTACCTTGAAATTTAGGAAGCATTAAAAATGTTTTTCTTGTTTCCAAAGCAACTGCTGGTTATCTTTATTTGTAGCATATACATTAAAATTAGGCAACCCTAAATCAACTTTAACAATAAGTTTCTGAATAGCTAGGATAATTTTCCCTAAGATATTGGGTTACCTTTTCATCCAGAGTTCACGCAGTGCACTAATTACATATCCTGAAGCAAACTTAAAAGGGCTTATTACAATGAACATGATAATAATAGTGTGCATTATGTGACCCTCTGGAGACTGACATAATACTTCATACTACTGCCTAATATTAATGAATAACCTTAATGTAATTACACACAAAATGTAACAAATGTAAGGTAAGACTGACTGTTTAAGGCTTCTGGCTTGTTTGTTGCACTTTATCAATTTGTGTTGGTAGATTTCGGTTCAAGATGCATATTCAAAAAAATAATAGTTCTCATCAGCTCTAAATCATAAATCTCCACTTATATAAACCAAACCACACTTTTATTCATATCAAATCAATCAGCTTTTCAGTTCATAGAAAATATGCCTGATTATATACAGCAATTTGTTATTTTTCTGGCTATTTTTGGGATATAAAGACATGGCCAAAATCATTTGATTCTAAACTATTAAATAATTCTTAACCCTGTTCACCCACTTAAAAACCCTCTTATTTTGCAGTCGGAGACGTATCAGGAGGACATTTACCCCATGACTCCTGGGACAGAACCGGCTCTGTCTGCTGATGAGTGGCTCAGTGGCATCAACCGAGGTGAAGAGCTAAACTTATTTTCAGAATGACAATATTTGAAAAGACAAAAGACTGAAACCAATCACCAAAATTTCTTCATCTGCACGCCCAGGCCCCGTTCTCATGTCCTTAAAAGAGGGCTACAACAGACCCAACAAGCTGGTGTTCAAAGCACCCGTGAAGGAGAAGAAGGGTGGAGTGGTCAATGGCATTGACCTGCTAGAAAACGTGCCTCCCCGTACAGAGAATGAGGTGTTTACCTGGTTTATTATGAGTTTTGAAGAACTGAAGGTAGAATTTCAGACAGAGAGCAGCGTTTAATTTTTAAACCACTTGAAAATTCTCAGTTTCTCCACATGTGATTAAAATATTAGTTGTGGGATTTGAGTAAAATATTAAAAAATATATTTTATATTCTAAAAACGTCTGTTACCACTTCATTTGAATAAACATTTTTAGAGTTTGTTTTTTTTTTGCTGTAGAAAATAGCCGTTTATCAGAATAAATGTGATTAAAAATCAGTTATTTCTCCAAATATTGATTTCTCAACACTTCTGAAGTTTAAACATTGCTATTGTGCTGCCTAATTTGAATATAAATGTATGAAAACTATAAGAACCAATTAAATTGAATTATATTTATGTTAAATTAGCAAAAATTTGAAAAGCAAAACTTGATAATATTGTACTAATAATTAAATTTTTAATATAGAAGATATGCTTATGTCTCTTCTATAAAGAAAGGAGATGTCATGAAGATGCAAGCAAAACAGTTTTTTGGCTGTGTGATATACATTGCATGCGGAAAGTATTTATAGCGCTTGACTTTTTCCACATTTTTTTATTTTACAATCTTACTCTAAAATAGATTAAATTCATTTATTTCCTCAAGATTCTACACACAATACACCATAATGAAAATGTGAAAAAAATTTTTTTTTAATTTTTGCAAATTTATTAAAAATAAAAAACCTGAAAAATCACATGTACATAAGTATTCACAGCCTAAACTGAGCTCAGGCACATTCTTTTCCCACTGATCATTCATCAGCATCATGCTGTGGGGATGTTTTTCAGCAGCAGGAACTGAGAGACTAGTCAGGATAGAGGGTTAGGCAATGTACAGAGACATCCTGAATGAAAACTTGCTTCTGAGTGCTCTTGATCTCAGATTGGGGTGACGGTTCATCTTCCAGCTGGACAATGACCCAAAGCACAACGCCAAAATATTAATGGAGTGACTTCACAACAACTCAGTAAATGTCCTTGAGTGACTAAGCCAGAGCCCAGATGTAAATCCTATTGAACATCTCTGGAGAGATCTGAAAATGGCTGTACACTGTCGCTTTCCTTTCAACCTGATGGAGCTTGAGAGGTACTGCAAAGAGGTATGGGCAAAAATTCCCAAAGACAGGTGTGCCAAGCTTGTGGCATCATATTTAAAAAGACTTGAGGCTGTAATTGCTGTCAAAGGTGCATCAACAAAGTTATAAGCAAAGGCTGTGAATACTTATGCACATGTGATTTTTCAGGTTTTTTATTTTTAATAAATTTGCAGTAATTTCAAAAAATGTTTTCACATTGTCATTATGGGGTATTGTGTGCAGAATTTTAAGGAATGAATTAATTAAATCCATTTTGGAATAAGGCTGTAACTTAAAAAAATGTGGAAAAAGTGAAGCGCTATAAACTGTAGTTAAGTTAATTTGTAATTAAAACTTTGTTCGAAACAACATCACTTATCTTATGTTACTCGCGTTCGAATTCCGCTTGTTCAAAGAAATAAATAAGACAAGAAGTGATGTATTGATGGCACATACGTTTGCACAACATAATTAAGTTTGCAGATGTTTCTAAATTTTGAAATTCAGAGAAACTGTCCTAATGTTCTCTTTCATTTATTCCATAGCTGTATATATACAGTTGAAGTCAAAATGATTAGCCTTTGTGTAAAATTCAAATTATTTTTCTAATATTTCCTGATAGTAGTTTTTTTGCAGCACATTTTTAAACTAATAGTTTCAATAATTAATTTCTAAGTAATTAATGAATTAATTAAACTAATATCTAAGTATTTGACATGCTGACAGTCCATAATAGTTTAATATTTTTTACAAGATGCTAGTAAATTGCTTAAAGTACAAACTAGGGGGATTAGATAAAGTAGGCAAGTCATTGGACTAACAGTGGTTTGTTCTGTACCCAATCAAAAAAGAATCATTCATTAAGGGTGCTAATAATATTGACCATAGCCGGTTTTATTTATTTTAGTTTTTCATGTTTTTCTTCCTGCCAACATAAAATAATTAAAACTTTCTCCCGAAGAAATGTATAAAACTAAATACTGTGAAAAAAAATGTCCTTGCTCTGTGAAAAATCACTTGTGAAATATTTGAGAAAGATTTCACAGCAGCACTAATGTTTTTGTCTTCCACTCTCCGTGTGTTTGTGTAACCCTGTGCGTTGTGCTCTCCAGCTCTTGCGGATGTTCTTCAGACAGCAGGAGGAGTTGCGTCGACTGAAGGACGAACTCACACAGAAGGACATTAAGATTCGACAGCTGGAGCTGGAGCTCAATAACATCAGGAACAGCCCGAACATCAACAACAACAATAACAACAGCAATGGTAGCAGCATTTGACACAGAACTGTTGATTTCCTGAAGTGACACACTACAAGCTCCAAACACTGCTGAAACACGGGCTTCCTCTTTCCTAACACTCAAATATCCTTCCTTCAAGACCGCAGGAGAGCCGGCGCTTGTCTTCATAAAGCAGTGTTTCAATCTGACCGCAGTGTTGACCCCACAGCTGCTGTGTGCTAAGTTGACTTTACTGGAGCGATGATTCACTAACCTGGTGAAAAATCTCCTATCACATGACCTTCAGTCACACTACGGGTCAACCTGAAGTGGTTTTGGTACAAGCTATCCATTGCATTTTCATCTCACAATTGTAGACATTACTAGATTGAATTATTAGAATTATTTATTTTTTTCTTTTTTTTTTGCGCTACTTCTAAACAGCTTAATGACCCCATATAGAGATAAAAAATGAGTAAGACGTGCTTCCCCCATCCAGCTGTTATCTCTTGTAAACATTAGGTCTATTGCATCATTATGATATGACCCACAGTGCTGTTTTAAAGGGATAGTTTACCAAGCAATGCTTGTTGCAAATTTGTACAAATATTTTTAATTCTGCTCCACACAAAAAAAGTAGTATGCTCAGCAGGCACCTTGATGTCAAAACGACATCAAAAACACATCAGTAATGTCAGTTGACTACCTTGATGTCAAAACGACATCAAATTGGTATCTAAAATAGGTGTCAAAACCAGGCCAAAATCTATTACAGGACTGTCATGCAGTCCATTTTTGATCATGTTTTGTTTTTCGGTAGCAGTATTAGATGTCAATTTGATGTAGTTTTGACATCAATTTATTTAAATCCATAGGAATACACAATTAAGTGTAAATTTGTTGTTTGAAATTGAAGCTTTTAGATTAATTGGATTAACTAAACTTTTAGTGTCATTGTTTTGGTGGTCAAAATGGAATCAATGTGTGAATGTCAAATGTATGTCAAGGTTTTGACATCAAATAATTAATTAATTCATTCATATTCTTTTCGGCTTAGTCCCTTTATTTATCAGGGGTTGCCACAGCGGAATGAACCGCCAACTTATCCAGCACATATTTAAGCAGTAAATGCCCTTCCAGCTGCAACCTATTACTTGGAAAACACACATACACTCTCATTCACACTCATACTCTACAGACAATTTAGCTTACCCAATTCTTTTCTTTGAACTTGTGGTGGAAACCCACTCGAACATGGGGAGAACATGCAAACTTCACACAGAAATGCCAACTAGCGACCTTCTTTCTGTGAGGCGATCGTGCTTCCCACTGCGCCACCATGGCGCCCTGACATCAAATAAATTAGCATTTTTGATGTTTAATTTTTTACCCCGCCCTCCAATCCTCAGATTTTTTGGGACAGTCTGTTACACCACTGGGTCACCAACTTTAGTATAATATCTGATTGCAGCAGCCGCCCAAATTCCACTCTATAGTACAGTTACTAACACCACGGTACAGTTACTGACACCAGACCTACTACTCGCTGTCCCGGAATTTCAGAGACAAATGTTAGCAGGTTTGTTTTGATATCAAGGTGTCCACTGGGTTTTGGTAACCAGACAGTTGACAGTAGCCATTGACTATGATTTAGAGCAGAGGTGTCCAATCTCAGTCCTGGAGAGTCGGTGTCCTGCAAAGTTTAGTTCCAACCCAAATCAGACACCTCGGCTAGCTAACCAAGCTCTTTTTAGGCTTTCTAGAAACATCCTTGCAGGTGTGTTTTGGCAATTTAGAGCAAAAAATCTGCAGGACATTGGCCCTTCAGGACCCAGCAACTTGAAGGTGTGTATTGTAAATGGTTAGAAGCTATCCCTTTTTAATGTTGAAAACACAACAGTTCTATAATCGTAATTGATGAATGACATTTTTCCTGTTGACACCCTCCTAAATCCTGAAGTACAGAGCTTGTAGTAAAACAATTTTGTGTCTGCAGTGTGAATTATGTTCAAGTCAGTTAACAGGTTAAATTATAAGCGTTGCAAAGGGGTCATGAATTGTATATTTTATTTTTATTGCATTATTTGAGGTCCACTTGTCGTTCTTTTTCATAATCATATTTTGAAGTAATTGGCTGTTTTCTATCTCGTCTCATTTTCAAACCCTGTTTTGATTGGCATGCCATATTCAAGACTCCAAAGTAAATGGTCACTGTTGGGTAACTGTTTGACATACTAAAATAATAGATAAACACTGCTTTGATAGATTCTAAAAAACAATACGAGTCACTGAGGTTAAAAACTTTCAATGACTATCAAACAATAGTTGATAGATAAACCACCAATACACATGGTAAAAATACAATGTTGCATTTGTATTTTCAATGTATAGTCAACATCTTTTATTTTAGTCTTTGTGAAAAGCCTGCATTAAACGTCTTATTTATGACCAATCCACACTCAAATGATGCAAAAAATAAATAAATAAATAAATAAATAAATAAATGAATGAATGAATAAACAAAATAATAATAGTAAAAGAAACAAAGGAACAGTGTTTTACTGATGAGAGTTGGAACACTTTTTTCTAATGTTCTGCCTTTTCTCATGATGTATTGTTATTTTCAGCAGCATCTCTATATACAGTATCAATAGAGGGAATTTGATTACCCAATTCATGGCCCCTTCAATTGAAAGGAACTGTTTATTGCAAAAATTTAAATATAATTATAATTTACCCTCCCTTAAGTGGTTCAAACTTTAATGAGCTTCTTTTTTTTGTTGAACACTAAAGAAGACATTTTGAAGAATGTTTGAATCTGGAAACCCAACATCCAGTAAAGAAAATTATCCTATGGAGGTGAAAGGCTACCCGTTTCAAACATTATTCAAAGAATTCTCTTTAAGGTTTAACAGAAGAATTAAATTTTTGGGCGAACTACCTTTACATTTATTGAAATGATTTTACAGTATAGATGAAGCAATGTCAGGTTTTATCGTTTATTACACTTTGCACCTGATGATGCATTTCAAAAACTTTTTAAAATTCCACTTATTGTATAGTCATTAATTGAATTAGTGATAGAGGTAGTGTTAGATGACATGCACTGTAGTTTGAAGGGAAGGCTAATGTTGAAAAAAAATGTGGTATAAAGAAAGTTCAGTGTTGGAAGATGCATTTTTGATTCAGTTTGATGAAGGAATGGTAATATAATATTTTAGAGACAGACTGTGATTTATAACTCATAATGAAGCACTGTTATATTTTATTAACCTTTAAATCAAGCCTATTTATTGATTTCCATGTTCAGTTCGCACTTTTAAATGAAGGTTTTTGTCTTCAGGTTTTTTTGGTTTGAGCTTGTAACCACTTATCCTTGCCATTTCATAATTGTCAAATTATTTACATCTTAAAGTGCTTCTTAGTTTGAATGTATATTGCTGTCAATAGCATTGTATTCAGCATACAACTTTCACTGTAAACCCCTTCAAATGTTGTACACAGGTTTCGGTTGTGCAAATATTATGCAATGTTTCAGTTCTTGAAGGAATAGTTTACCCCAAAATGAAAAATTACTCATTATTTGCTCACCATTAGTCAGTTTGAAACCTTTATGAAGTTCTTTTTTTTCTGTTGAACACAAAAGATATTTTAAAGAATGTCACATATTTTTACATTGGATATTTTTATTGATATGTTTTGTTTTCAACAGAAAAAAAAAACAAAGAGGTTTCTGACAAATTAATGATGAGTAAACGATGACGATTTTTAATTTTGTGTGAACTATCACATTTAAATCTTACTTTATTAATTAAAATATGCTAACATATTTATTTTGCCACCAAACTAGACTTTTCTAATGTTTTTAATACCACATTTGCTCAAACCTCTGATGTGATGTGTAAAGATGTCATCCATACTGATCGCTTTATTCCTGAATAACCCATGATTATGAATTAGCTCTCACCTCGATTGACCAGCATGGGAAGCAAACTCTTGTCCACCTCAGAAATACAGCCCTGAGTATTAAAAAAAATTTCCTTGCTGACGCTATTTAATTAAAACAATATGCTGTTGAGCTTTGTGAATATTTTGCCTCATAAAACAATAACACAAACTGCAGCCGCTCCGGATTCGTTATTACATAGTAATAGCTGGTTTAATGTAGTGACACCAGGGGGCAGTACAACCTCAGCTTTTAACATGTCAGCTCGTAGGCCGACACTTGACACAGAGCAAACATTACACAGCATCCCTCGAAAGGACACGAACAATTGTTCTAGGAAAAAATAGGTTCTTTTCTAGCACATGAAGTAATTGTTAAAACAATAACATACCATAAAACGAACAAACGTAGTGCCTTGATGAATTC